CAGTCCGTCCAGTCTCATAATGATCGGTCCTAATCAGTCCTGGACCGCAGTCCGGTCTAACTTTTTAAAAGACTGCCGGTCTTTGGACCAAGACGGACCGGACGGACCGATTAACAGCCCTAATTATAATATTTAAATGCCAATTTATTATTATTTTTTATTAGTTTTATTATTTTTTTATTTTTTACAACTCTTTCTATCGAATGTTGAATCCGTAATATATTTGATAAATTTCCAATACTTTAGCAGCAAATTTGCTGATAAATGGCGTAAAATCTTAATTGCATGAAGACTGATTTGTATATTAAAGTTTCAAAATACAATAGCGAAAACTCAAAAGAAGTTATTGAGCGAAAAGTGTATTTGTTATATTTGATCTTGAAACATCAACAAACCCTATAATGTAACTTATAAAGTTTGACACATACCTGCTTGTGTTCATTGTTCTGACAAGTGTTCAGAATTGGATAGTTTTTTTTCAGTGTTTTAGAAACAAACTCCACAAATAGATAGTATTGAATGCAATTGCAAATGCATGCAATAAAAATCAATGTAAACGTAGAAAAAAGAAATTTCTTTGTGCAGTTATGTAACCATAAATGTAAAAAATTTATGTAATGCTTTTAATCTAATTAATTTGCGATGCGCTGAGCTATAAATAAACCTCACCTTAATGTTACTTAACTTCCAAAACAATGTACTCGGTAAAATAATTTAGAATCCACTTAATTATATTGTAAGCTGAAATTGAATTCTTTAACAACTCAAATACGATTTAGATTTCTATTACAACCTATGTAAATTCTAAATCCACAATAATTCCATTCCGACATACAACATATATACAGTACTTTATTTGCCTTTATTACAAAACATTAAAAAATTATCATTTAAATACTGACATCAGATGCTTTTCATAAAAAGAAAGTTGGCACGTTAAACATAATTAAAGCGAATTGTGAAGTTGCATTATTTTGGTTAATATCATAGTAAATGCAATCAACATAGCAAATGTTACAACCACGATTTATAAAGTAGAGATGTAAATCAATTCAGCCTGTTCATGTATTTTTTATAATAAAACCAATTAATAAATAGAGTTAAATAAGCTGATACTATCCCATTGAAATGTCATTAATCAGCACGAACAATATCTTAAATAATTGACATGTAACAAAATAAAAAATGTGCTTGATCCAGAACTTTGTGAATTCTGAAACTAGGTTTCAGGTTGCTATTAACTTAAAACAGTAAAAACTGGATACATTAAAATATCATAACAATCGGGTTTCTTTTAACAGAGTATTGGTAGAGCTCAAACGTTTACCTTTATAGCTAACTAACTCGAGTTTGGGGGCAATATTTAATTAAAATTGATTAACACGATTACCTTGTTTCAATTAAAATGAAATTTGGAGCTTCTATCTTATTAATAATATTATTATTAAAGATATGGTTTTATCTGTTCTTAAAGTTCACCGAACGGTTAATTAATTATTGTAGATTTCATTTTGCATTAATCGTTTGACAGGTCGGTTTTGTCAAATTATATAAATAAACAAACTTGGATAAAATATTGTTACATTGATCATATTATCTAAAATTGTTATCAGCTGGAGATAGGAGAGAATTTGCGTTCCACCTGCAAATTATCCTTTTTACATAACGATAAATACGATATCCGTTCAGAATATAAAACGGAGCACAGTACAATGTGGATCTAGATGTAAACCGATTACAAATCTGTGGCACAATCATTTCCTTTTACAGTATTTCCATATTTTTTTCATTTGACAAAAAAAACGAAAAAGGGAACAATAGACTGATCAAAAATAGTCAATTTACATTTGACAAAAAACGAGAAAGGGAACAATGACCCCATCAAAAATTTAGTCAAATAGATTTTTCGTATATAATTAGGCTAAAAAGCAATTGGGCTATATGTTCACGTTAAAACAACTTATCATTCGAATTTTGATTTTTTAATACCAATACATACGTATTTTATAAACATGGATAACGACCTTAATCAAAACCATTTAAGTAATAGTTTGTTAAATTTGCTTAAAAGTTCTGAAGGTTTTGATACAAAAGTTATAGTTGGTGAAGAACCAAATATTAAGGAATTTAAAGCACACTCAGTTATCTTATCGTCAAGGTCTGCTTACTTTAAAAATGCATTATCATCCCGGTGGGCAAAGAGAGAAAATGGAATAATCATTTTCAATAAGCCTAATATTTCGTCATTGGTATTTGAAGTTCTTATAAAGTAAGTGTTATTTATATATATGTATATATTATAATAACAAAAAGATTATGATACGAATTTAAAATCGTGATTTATTTTCCATAAAATGAATAGTTATATTTATACAGGAATATTTACTGTTGGAAATAATTTTAGCCTTGTTGACATTTTTATATCTGCTGATGAGATTGAATTACTTGAACTTTGTAAACAACTTAAGAAACGTTTGCTTGAAACTGAATCGGCGTGGAAATTTCCGAAAGATTTTATTACATTATGTCAACATAATGATACTGATTTATATAATGTTGCATTTGATCTTGTGTGTAAAAATCCAAAAATTGTGTTTGAATCAGAAGAATTCTTAAAAATGGATGAAAACCATCTAATCCTTTTGTTGAAAAGTGACGACCTTCGACTAGATGAAATTGAAGTTTGGGAATATTTAATTAAATGGGGAATCAAAAATACTGATTCGATTTTAACTGATGATTTAGCTAAATGGAATCGAACAGATTTTGTGGACCTTGAAAAAACTATACATAATTGTATTCCTCACATTAGATTTTTCCAAATGTCACTTTATGAGCTTCGCTTAATTATGACTCGATATAAAGACATTCTTCCAGATCTTTCTGATGAGGTTTTCCGTAACTTAGATCCTAGGCACGATCTTTTACAAAAAAGAGTATCTGCATATCCTTTTGATTCTAAAATTATTAACGCTAAGGACGCGGCATTAATAGCGAGTTGGATTGATAACAAACAAAAAACACCTTATTGTTTTAAGGATATACCTTTTAAATTCAATCTTATTTATCGTGCAAGCCAAGAAAATTTTAGTATTAGTAAGTTTCATGACAAATGTGATAATAAGGGACCAACTGTGGTTATAATTAAAGACCTAAATTCAGAGGAAATAATTGGCGGATATAATCCGTTAGATTGGCGTAGTAACGTAGAATTAACAAACAATAGAGATTGGTTACCGTCTAATGGTTATAATAATAATTATAGGTGTAAAACATCAAAGAGTTTTATATTTTCATTACTTTCATTTTCAAATGGAGCAATTCCCCGATTAAGTCGTGTCTCTACTAAAAACGAAGCAATCATTAGGTGCAATGATAAAGGGCCGTGCTTTGGCTTACAAGATTTGTGGATACAAAATAACTCTTCACGAAGATCTGCTAGTGGTATAAGCAAGCAACACTCTTATGAAATGGGAATTATTGATAAAGATACTTTTGAAATAGAAGAATATGAAGTGTTTCAAATTATTGATAAGAGATTCTCATCTATAATGATTCAATTTATTAAAGGATTCTTATTTAGAATGATTCAATTTTTTAAGAACCTTATATTTGGAATGATACATTTCTTTAATCATTTAAGCATTACTGGATATACTATTCTATTTTATTGTTTTGTGTCATTCTTATTATTTTTGCTGATGTTTTTGATATTTAGATATCACAATGGTAGTGTTATAATGAAAATTTTTATAGCTTCATTTACATCTATTCTTGTTATTATAGCTTTTCAACCGCTCCTTCATATATTACTAAAACAAAGACAGCGACGTTTTGTATACTTGGACCCTTATTAGATCTTACGCTTAAAATTAGACTCAAATAGTATTTGAATTTTATAGATTATTATTAATTATTACAGTTAGTGGCTTAACATCAATATTTTGAGCTTAGGCTCGAGAGAATGTAAAATTTAAAAAACATATATTTCACAGAATATTTGATTAAATCTCATTATTAAGATTACTCTGTGTTGTGATTGGCCTATTTAATTTCGGAGGACAGCTTACCTAGGGGAGGATGAACAGTAAATAACTATTCCCTAATTTTTGTAATCTGTTAAAAGAAAAGCACGATCGAAAAGAGTGATACACCTGCAAATGTATGATCAGTATTAAGCCTTTGTGGCTTATGAATCGTAATTGCACAAGCTAGGAATAAAGGAATCTGTTATGCGAAGCAAATTTCGAGTTTTACTGAAGTATATACAATGAGTTGAATTGGTATTATAGGTGCAAACATATGTTAGTGCCGTGCAGACATATTTACATAATATGGCAACACTCATATAGTTACGACCTTATTACGTAAATATGCCTGCACCTCTGTAACTGGTCTTAACGTAACTCAAAAACATTACGATATGTCAAAAGCCATAACTAACGTTTGCCGTAACACCTGACGTGTACCGTAATATTTGATTCATCTCATCATATTTGACCCATAACATTTGAAGCGTGCAGCAATATTTAACTTGTGCCGTAACATTTGACTTGTGACGTGACATTTGACTTGTCATAATTAAGCTGGACCAGATGGGAATGGAGTGGAAGACTTTCGAGCCATATTCAATAGTACTTTTTCATATAATAGGTTATAAAAATTGGGGAACATACATGCTAACAATAGTGATTACTTTTTATGATTTTATGAATAAAATATTTGCTTTTCTTGTGCTAACAATAGTGATTACTTTTTATGATTTTGTGAATAGAATATTTGCTTTTCTTGTGCGTTGTGAAAGGCCTAGGTCGCCACCCAAATTATTATTATTATTTTTTTATTTACGTTATTCTATTTCTCTTTTCTTTTAGTATTATTATTCAACTTTTCTTTTTTTGTCAGGCTCAGTATAAATTATATTACCGTTAGCATAGTTATCGTCATAGATCCAAAATTAGTAAGTGAAAGAAAATCCTTACCGTAATGGTAAAATTCACTTTAGTAGCTTTAGTGGATTTAGTGGATTTCGCGAATTTAGCGAATTTAGCGAATTTAGCGGATTTAGTAGCTTTCGCACTTTCGAAACTTCCATAGAATTATAGCTTTAGTTAAGATAATTTATATTGTATAGAGTAACAATGTAAAAACTATAAAAATGGTACTTATCTGCCTGAAAATAAAGATAACTTTCGCAGTTCAAACATATCTTAACTCCTAGAGTTCCAAAACCTTCGAAATTAGAGTAGAAGTGTTTGTCGTTAAACCGTTGTACCCCTTATTAGATAATTCGTTC